TGATGATAATATGGTGTAATTATGACATTGTTCAAAATGACGTAACAAGAATTTGGAAATGATCTGTAGTAGATAAACAATGGAGGAATGAGGTTGAGGGAAAGTTCCACCAAATAGGGTATGCAGTTAGCCTTCACTGCAGGCATCACTAAGAATCATGGGCTTCCTGTCTTTTTGAGGAGTCAAAAGAGATCTTGTCACTAGTCCCTAACAGCCAAAATGACTGTTACAAAGGAAGCCCAAAGGAGGAAAAAAGAGTTGCCTGTGGAGTAGGCTAGGTATGCAGTGGTATTTGGCTCTTGTATCTTGAATATGGTAAACAATTGACCTTCAGTTGTCTTGAATGAGGTTGTACTTTTTCTGTTAATTACCATGTCTTATGCAAGGTGTCGATGTTTATCAGCAGGCTATGAAGTCAAAATGAAAAAAGGAATGACGTATCTTTCACGAGAAAACTATCTGGTTTATGTCTTATATAGGGTCTACATTCAACCATTTCATCTTGAAGGGTAGATACATGTAAAATGCAAAAAAACCCAGCTTGGATAAAGAAGTGTTGGCCTTCATAAATTAAGAACCTAATGTGCTATTCGCTTGAAAAATAACCATTTTTTGATTTTCAAGCAATCAAAAAGCAGCTTGCAATAAAATGTATATTTTTCAACAAAGGAAAGCATTTTGAATCTGTTGTTCACATACTCTATGCAGGTGGAACTGTAGCTCTCAAGTAGTACCAGGGACTGTAACTCTAGTAGTACCAGGGACTGTAGCTCTAGTAGTACCAGGGACTGTAGCTCTAGTAGTACCAGGGACTGCAGAGCATATTTTTAGCTGGGGGCTAAGATAACAACGATGGAAGGCAAGAACAAGTACAGTGTGGACATGAATATGTTTATAGCACTGTATTTTTAATTATTTTATGTTGTTCACATTGTCATTATTTGAATTTAACCCATTCTGTTATTCGTACCCAGGAGTTCTCAGTACTGTGGTCAAAGTTAGATGTGATTGTTGATGGAGGTGTTATAAACCCAACTAAGGAATGTCGATTGGGGTCTACAGTGGTTGATCTCTCCAATRCTGGTCAGTTTGCTGTCATTAGAGAGGGAAGGTACATATCTGATGAATTTGATTAAACAGTGTTGTTTCTTCAAGTCCTATTTTGATTGTGACTGCTTACTATGGTTGAATGAATGCATTGGACAATTCCGAAAGATACATTGTTTAATTGCTGATTTGTTTCAAGATTGATAGACAAATCAATAATGTGGTTGCTTGAATAGCTAATTTGTGACTGAAGTTGCACTTTCCAATGATTGAGTATTCTTAAAATGATTGTTTGGCTGAATATAGTTGGATCGTGAATATTGATTGATTGTTTGATGGAATTCAAAGTGGAAAACGTTTTGATCAATGAATGGATGTCTGTATTGTTTATTTTAGTGCCTACCAAGAAACTGTGCAAACACTGGAAAGACATGGATTACTACAATCATGATGGAAATCCACTTATAGACCAGACTGCTGTTTTAGATCAACTAGCCTGTTCTTGAACCCATCCAAAAAAAATTGAAATTTGTTGTTTTGTGTGCTGGGGTGTTTCATCACACCCCAGCACACCTTTGTAGTAATTTTTCAATCTGAATGTCTTTTGTATATATAGTGTTTTATTATTTACTTTTTGTACTTTTTCTGAMATTTTATTGAATGTAGTTAAAAACAAGTGTTATTAATTATTACTCAATAACATACATACAATTAATAATATAAGATTTTTCAGGGAACAGCGGCGTAAATTGCTCGGCTGTAAACTTCAATGAAGCATTTAGGACATGCACTCTGAGTTTTAAATCAAACTATATACATCTACATTACAAAATTGTATTTCTGGCAACAACCACTTAGTTTAGTGTGGAATATTTATATAAACAGTAACTCCTTCGGATAAATATCTTAGATTTTAGATTCTTAAT